TTACTAAAGCCTTGGTTTTCAGTTGCTATACATGGAGGTACAACTAGATAGCAGAAATATGTGAGTAAAACTGATATTAATGCAAGATTTATGAAATCATGGCTGCACATATCCAAACCTCAGAAGCAGAAACTCTGACAATTATGTTATGAACACAGAAGTAACAATTGTTTCAAAGCTGATATAACCATTTTAAGAAGAGGAACACAGAGAAGCCTGAGACATTTTGTTCACTGCATGCCTCTGCTGCTGGATAAAGCTGGAGTGAGATGAGATGTGCTCACCAACAGATGGAAGCTTTAGCATGAGTGATGTGCTGCTGGGAGCTCAAAGCGCTTGAAGAATTTCCACTGACCATTTCAGGTTCTTTTTTAACTTGTAGCAAGATAACTGCTAGATACAAACAGCTTTTTCTGCTACCTCATGGCATGATACGGTGGTCATTTAAAGACATCAGATATTTTCTTGTTAAAACACTGGATAATGCATTCTTCCACAGTGCTTTCCTGCTGAAGCTGTGCTRCATGTTGCTCCTTCCAAACACATGATGGCCTTTAGCTAAGGAATTTATCTCAAAAGGACAACTGACTTGTGGGTCATATAAGAAAGCGGAAGACTTGAATGAGGATTTCAAAGTTTTGTTTTCACTTTTTCTCCATATCAAGACTAAAACCATTTGAGTCACACAACCTCCAAGCTGATGAAAACCATGCAGTTACAAACACTGGAAGTCCTTCCCGTGTCTACTTGGATAGTTCCTGAAGTGGAAATACATGTCCTGACTCAGTTCAAGACTCCGATTTTCACTGTCTTTACTCAAAGCAAAACCTTGGAGTAAAGGAGACGAGAGAGGACAGAGGAGAGAGATGAGTAAGAGGAAAGCACCCTTCAAAAAAAGTCAAACGCAAACAGCAAAAAGAATCATAAACTGCTTTTTTTGCTATGCAAAACAAAATTGGTTTTACATTTCTGTTTTCCCAATATTTTCTGCAACAGTCATAAAATGAGGCTCATTGGTGAGTAACAATAATCACCCTCAGGATTTAAAATACATCTMGAAGTATGAACTGTGTTTTGAATTTTTTGATTACCACAGCTCCTGTGTACCTTAGTCTGTGTTTTAAATTTCTTTTACGAAACACCAATTCTTCCAGCTCAGGAGTTAACTGTCAGTGGTATTTAGCATCACCACTGAAAGCACGTCTGCTCAAGGCCACACACCAGTCTCACTGCTGTCCTCCCCAGCAATACCCTCTTTCACAGCTGCTGAAAATTTACACATAAACACAGGGACAATAGCAWCCCATCCTGCTTAATTCATTAAATTTCTTTATATTCCAGAACATTTAGAAACTCTCAAGTTTCTCAACCTACACAGTACTAAAATTTCTGTAAAAGGAAGAATGTCCTCAATTTGGCCCAAATCATGACTAGAGGGACTGCCTGTGATCAGAAGATGTTCTGAAAAATGACTGCCCAAGATTTCCTTTAACTTCTGAAACACTGATTTGATTTCTGTTATCTTTACCATCTGCACAGATTTCTTCTGCTGAGATTTGTACTTATTGCTGCTTTMAGTCTTCGTAAAATGGCACATCTGCCAGAGATTTTAGAGATTTTTTTAGAAATAGAGGAAAAAATTAGAAAAAGAGAAGGAATGAGAAAGGAATGAAAAAAAAAAAAAAAAAAAAAAAAGAGTGAAAGCTATTCTGCATAATTTCCCATTTCTTATTTAAAATAGTAAGAATCACCTGTTCAAGCCCCCCATTCTCCACCCCCTAAGGAGAGTTGTTAGTAAAAAGAAGCGGCCCAGCCCACCCCCTGACGTCTTTAATTGACTTCCTAGCGAGTGTTATCAAGAGCCACTGAAGCAGTGCTAATGGTGCCTGCAGATTGCTGCACCCGGCATGGCTGGCATTCCTTGGACCTTAAAAGGGCTAATGGGAGAGTGTAATCTCCACTCAGCACGGCAGCAAAGACCACGAGTGAGCTGGAAAACACAAGTAATTAGAAAGTATTCTTTCCCAGATGGAAGGGAGGTGGGAAGTGGAGATAAAGCTGGTGCCCAAGCATCTCCTATTGTGGAATTTCTAGCACACAGAGCATGATTTCAAAGAGTGAGACACATTCAGTACTGAAAGGAGTAAGTCCATCTCACCAGAAATGTGAGCTGCTGGTTTTTACCTATGACTGAACACTTCACAGAGAGCTTTACAATGGGAGTTACAGAGAGAGGGAGCTTTTAAGACTTTTTTTTTTTTTTTTTTCTATCAGCATTTCTCCAATAACCTCAGTAACTCC